ACTCCCAGCGGTGCTTGGGGGACCATATGGGATGCTGGGGATTGAACCCGGGTCAGCCACGTGCAAGGCAAACGCCCTACCTGCTGTGCTATCGCTTCGGCCACTACTGTTTAATTTTCTTTCAGAGGAAAATATGTACAAAGAATTCAGCTTACTTACTAAGTTATTTTTTTTCTTTTTTCTTTTTCTGTGCTGGAGATTGAGCCAAAGCATCATACATCCTAGTCATGACGTCAGTACTCAGCCGCACCCCTGCCATTGTTGTTTCTTTGATCCTTTCATTTTTTTCCCTTCCCAATTACAATTTTGCCATCCACTCTTATCAAGAAAATCTTGTAACTTCATTGAATCTGTGATGTCTTTCTCGGCTTTCTGTGCTCTCTTCGCACAGATGTACGATACAGTAGTCTCACTCCACTAAATCACTTCCTTACCCTCTCTTTTCCTTCTCTTTAGATATCTGAAATTCAATTGGATTCTGATTCTAAACAAAAAATATTGAGACTGACAGTAACAAATAAGATTTTACCGTTGAATATTGTGATATTTTACACTGAATATTGGGAAATGCAGTTTTACATTTGGAACCAAAGGAAACAACTGCATTCCAAAACAGCTACATTTGCAACCCCCAAAGTGAGGTGTTTGTTTTTTAACTACCAGATTCACTTTGAAACACACTGACGAAGTATCCCAATGAGGTGGGACAGAAAGGCCACAAAGGGGTGAAGTCATATGCCTTGCAAGCAGCTGACTGTAACTTAATCCCTGGTACCAAATAGGTTTGGTCACCCTAACATCAGGAGAAATTCCTGAGCAGAGCCACTAGCTATAAGCCTCAAGCACCATCAGGTGTGGTCCCAAACTCCCACCCCTCAAGTAGGTGTCAAAGATGAAGCACATATCTGTTTAGCTATATAATAGAGCAATACGCAGGCTGCCACTGATATCACAAGATAGTTGCCTCTAAATCTAGACTTCTGACACTGGACACTGGGCCCTAGCTTCATCTTCTCGTTCTTGTTCTGATCAGGAAAAGAAGTTGCCTGAGCAATATCTACATCATAGAGTACTGCCAAAGTGAGGTCCGTGGCAACCTTTAGAGCGGCAACAACCACCAAATCCGAGCCCCTGATAAGTTTCCTAGGAAGGCTTTCAAAGTTGTAGTAACTTTGGGCAAAAGTGTCATAGAACTGAGGTTTTGTCTTTAAGTACAAGACAAGAGTTTTTGTCTCAACTGTCCAATCCTCAATCCATCCACTTTAATGTCACAAACATGATAGGGATATTTTCAAACACTAATATCAGAATCTTTATGCCACTTGGGCACATTATTATAAATAACTCTTTCTTTCAGACCTGAATTTCTTCTAAGCAGCTGGATCCCGAATATAACAGAGCGGGAAAGATGACAGAAGCATCTGAAATCATTTCCTGCCCTAAGCTATCAGAATTCTTGACTCATTTAATTCTCCCAGCTCTCTAGCTTTTGTGATTTCTATTAATTCTCTTCCTTCCCTTGACCTCTGCTTGGAGTGTTTCAAACTCATGGTTGAGTATTTCAATTTCCTGGCTTTGAAACCATATATATATATATATATATATATATATATATATATATAATCTTTCCTGAGCTCTTGAGTTATATATTAGCTCCTTACTAGACATATTTTGATATTTAACAATGCCAGACTAACTCATATTACTTCCCAGTAAAAATAAAAACAAATGTAAGCCTTCTCTCACATACCCCAACTCTTCATATAATTTGATCCTTCTCAATTAAGGGCAAATGTATTTTTCTCAAGTGCTAGCTTGAAAATACCTTGGAAAATGTCTTCTTTTTTAAAAACCATTTTCATTAACAAATTAGGATTTACAGTACTGTTAGTCATACTTTTAATGGCTATATCAAGAACTTTTGCTTAATTTTTTTTTCTCCAAATCTCCAAAGTGGTGCTCAAAGGGTCTGAGGGCCACTTTGAGAGATTCTCTATCAACCAGGCCAGATGGTTCCATGCTAGGACTTGTCAAGACAATGTGGTGATACTTGGAACCACTACTGGGCTTGGAAGCGCTGGGGTCCAACAAGGGCCGCATCTGGTGGTGCTTGGGAGCCTTGTAGGTACATGCAGTGGTGATTGGTTGGGTAGAATCGTGAGAGAGAACCTGTCTTGAATGCTGTTCAAAAAGTCTCATCACAAGATGACTGAAAGCTTCTGGTGGGCTGAGCAGCACCCAAAGGAGCAAATCTGCTGGAGCGGTGAGACCCGGGGCAAATTGTAATGAGAAAAAGAGCTAACTGGTAACCAAGAAAGAGGATAGATAGTGTGCAAAAAAAAAAAACCTAACAAATTTTTCATCATGAAAGTAAGTGAGGGGCTCAAGAGATAGTATGTAACTTGCACACAGTTAACCTGGGTTTAATCCCTGGCATCCCATATGGTTCCCAGAGTCCGCCAGGACTGATTTCTGAGTGCAGAGTCAGCAGTAAGGCCTGAGCACAGTCAGGTGTTTTTCAAAAAGAGAAATGTAAGTGGGATAAGATGAAAGCTAGGGCTGGAGTGATAGCACAGCGGGTAGGGTGTTTGCCTTGCACGCGGCCAACCGGGGTTCGATTCCCAGCATCCCATATGGGCCCCTGAGCACCGCCAGGAGTAATTCCTGAGTGCAGAGCCATGAGTAACCCCTGTGCATTGCCAGGTGTGACCCAAAAAGAAAAAAATAGATGAAAGCTAAATATAAATTTATTTTTACATAACAATGCATTTTAGAAACAATAATGTTGACAAAAACGGTCAGCAAAGAAGCGAAGTTGGGGAGAGTAGAGTGGGCTACAGAAAGACTGAAGACCTTGAGATGGTAGAATGAACTAGAACTCAGAGAAGACAAAGGAATTTATCTTTGAGGGAAATAAACCTTCCTGAGTTGTGAAAAGGTAAAATACTTCTAATATCTCAGTAATGCAGGTGGTAAGATCATTTCAGAGACCAGGAGAGGAAAAGGGGACCAGCAGTTAGAACAAAGTGAAGGTATGAAATATTCATGTTTAAAATGATGGGATAAGTTTATTTGAGAAATACGGTGATGCTGTTAATCAGTAGCCAATCTCTCTTGGAGTCCGGTTGTCAGGAGTCCAGTAATATCATCCAGCCCTGTCTGCTCCCCTTTCCTTCATCCCTCACCCAAAGCCAATTTCTGTCATTTTTCACATCATGTGATGAAAGACAATGATAATCCCCCCATCCAGGACCAACTAATCTCCCCAACAGCTGCAAGAGTTGGTCTATACTTTAAGCCCCCAACATCCTCTCTTATGCGGTGCTTGTCAAGACACCAAAACAGGAACAGAAAGAACAGAAATGGTCCCCATGCTCATTTGCGTCCTTTATCCTTTTGTTCCATCTCTGCTTTAGGTATGGAGGCTGTAACAAATTTCACTAGGCAGGCACACTGATAATTGTACGATGACCCTATGTGACTTTTATGAAGAAGCCAGTGTTTTTTCATAAATTTGTTTATCCGGTAGATAAGCAAATTGAATATATATATTATAGTTATGCCAGAGAAGAGCCACACTAAAATAAAAATCTACACAGACTAGAGAGGCAGAAAGGTTTTCAGAGAAAATGACATCTTATTCCTCTATTCTACAAGTTTTTTCAGTATGACATAAATAGCAAATAATAAGTTGCAAAACAAAGTGAACTGATGTCTCGATCTCCAGAGTTTCTTACTCTGTCCGTGCAAAATCTTCAAAAAAAAAAAAAAACTCCTACTGTACTGCAGAACTAAACAATCAGCTCTTTGACATGGTTTTGAGCTGTTAAGGGAAAATTAACTGACCACCCAAATGGAAGTTTTTGAGGCAGATAGAACCTTCCTTATAAAATAATATAGTAATGAATATATTTATTACAGTGCACAGTATATAGTACATAGTATAATGTAATAAATATGCTTTGCTATTTCAAAGTCTGGAAAAGGATTAATGTGTAGCTTTTAATCTGTCTTTAATTTCTGACAATAACATTTTAAACTCATTCTCTGGCATGAAGATCAAATGCCCTTATTCATGGGTCTTAACAAAGAGTCTAAAAAGGAAGTTATATCTAGCAGAAATTCTTTCCACATATTACCACTTCAGCTTACTCAAACTAAAATCTTTTTCTCAGTTTAGTGGAGAACATGGTGAGCAAGGAAGAGTGTATTAAAGTTTATCTGCTTTTTCTTTTTTAAACTAAAATTTTTATTTTTTCTCCATAGGGTTAGTTATAGTTATTAATAACTCAAAACCAAGAGGAGAATAAGTATAATAATTCTCAGAGAAAATAAACAACCCAACTACCACTCTGAATTCTACAAACTGCAAGAAATTTTTCATATGTTCCCTTATAGATATCAGCTAATATTTGAGTTGTGGCTTGAAGTCTAAAAGCAAAACCTTTTCCAAGATGTGCCAAATGTGTTTGACAATGTGTGAAGCTCTGAAAACTTCAGTGTATTTTTCGAATGGCACTGCATTTGCATTAAAGACAATGGCAAGGCAAGTGAGCTCAGATGAATGGTTCCAAGTTATCTTTTTCATAAACAGAAAAATAAAAGGAAATGAGGCATCTGTATCTGAATATACTTGAGTCATCCCCACAGGCACCAGTGGTATAGAAATTCAGTAAGTTAAAATAAGTCTTTAAAAACATATTGACATCAAAAGAGATGAAAGACTGATGGATAAAAGCAATTTACTCATTTCAAGTAGGATCAACTGCTACGATTATCAGCTTGAAAAGTTCACAGACTATTCTCTCAGCATTAGCTGCTGAATACCTGTCAGTTCTTAATTTATGACAATATAAAACTCAACTCAAGACTTTTCTGCAGAGAGAGTATCTACACACAAATTTGTAAAAAAGCACTGTAATTCAGGCAGTGTTAAAATTCCATCAAATGAAATATCATTTTCTCCATAAAAATCATATCCAAACAAAAGTTTGTCTTACCTTGGTCTTTTCACCAACAATGTTCTTCTCCAGTTCTGTTATTTTCCTGTTTAGATGATCTAAAATCTCCTTCTCTTTCATGAGTTCAGTTGTTTCAGATTTCTGTTCTCCATCCAACAGAGCACACTCCATGTCCAACTGAGGACGCAAAACAAAGCCCACAGATGTCTCACTAGTTGAGGAAACTCTCTACTTTTACATGTGCATCTGTAATAGCTACAAATGTCAAAAGCCAACTGGACTGTGGGGCCTAAGGAATATTCCAAGGAGACTACAAGAAAGTTCTTCTAAAAGAAAGTTAAAATCTCCAGAATATAATTGTTAAGAAAATTTATTACCTTATTATGTAATTTTTTTTTCTATCAAAACCTTCTTTCTGATATTTTGCCTATCAGTTTGGAATCAAGCTCAAGCATGAACCAAGAAAGCCATGTCTGCTTCTTTGACTGCAGAGCACAGAAAGTGAAAATTACACTCAGCCCAACATCCAAGCACTGCATTCCTAGCAAGGCTGGCAGGAGAGCGTTGTGGGGTCTGTGTGGAAGATGACAGGTGAATAGTCCCCTTCCGCTTATGGGTTTCTTTCAATCATCTGAGTATAAATGTGCAAAGTTCTCCCTCTTTAGCAGAACACTTGCTCTTTTACACTCTCTGAAGGCAATATTTTAAAAAATTCTTTTTTTCAGTAATAGTTACAGAATATGCATCTGACTCCTTACTGGCCAGCAAACCTCTGCTCCTATGTTTGATTCAGATGTAAATCCCACCTCCCTCCGGAAATACCAGCATGATACCTAAGTGATAATTAACATAATCATAAATGTTTATTGAACTTGAACTCACTTAACTCATAACACCTTAACTGACATATGTTGTAGCAAGTGAGAAAGCACATACTAGCTAGATAACATCATGGTAAATAAAGTACCTTAAACATAAATTCATACATGTATCATATCCGATTTCTTAAAAAGTACAGAAGGAAAAAAGAAATGTTACCCAAAAAGTGGCATTTTCACCCTCCACATAGTGTCTATTGAACAAATGATTGTTCATAATGGTTTCTATGTAATCACCCTCCAAGGACTGTACCTTAACAAGAAGCAACATTTTTCAGCTAAACTACCAAGAGTGAGGGTAAGTGGGGGAAAGCTCGGAATTTGTACCTCTCTGGAAGATTCATCCATCTGGTCATTTATGTCTTTGATTTTTTGTTTAAGTTCCTCCAGGTTGTTCAGAATTGCAATCCGGGTTGTTTCCATGGTGGCCAACTCCTGAATCCTTTGTTCCTCACTTATATCCTCAGGGGTCTGCAGATAATCACACAGAAAGAGACCACTCACACATCCATTCCAGGATTTCCTAAATTTATTTATACAATTCTTTTTTATTTTTAATTTTGGCTTTTTTGGGCCATGCCAGTGTCTGTAGACATACTCTTGGGCTTTATTGCAAAAAAAAAAAAAATCTATAAATGGGCAGTAGTGTCTATTTGTTTCCTAACTATCACAAGGTAGAAAGGCAAGGACAAAAAACACTTTGCCCTGTCTCACCAAAATGTTCCCCAAAGTTACCAGCACAATACAAGCTCTGTTACTTTGGCAACCTTCTAAGACATCTTAATAAAAACAGAACCAAACCAAAAGCACTCCATGCTTATAATTAAGTGAATACATGTTTTTTTCTTTTTCTGTTAGTATGCTATTTACTGTCTTTGTCCTCAAGAACTTTCTTTCTATATGTTCAGACATTAACTGGACAACTGGTCTTTTCTATCATGAAGTGGGATACTGGCTATCATTTATAAGACAGTTTCATACAAAAATTGACTTCCTTGGAAAGAAATAAAAATGTCAAAACACAAATAAAGAGCTTGGGCTGTAGCTCACTGGCAGAGTGCCTCTTTTCAGACATACAGCTATGAAATTTGGCCAATAAGTTCCATTCTGGAGCAAGGCACTATATATCAAGTGTGAGCCTGGTGGAAATCAGCAAATCAAAGGATAGATCTGGTGTTTCATCTCTACTCTCTCCCCTTTCTTTATGTGGATATCATTTCCTCAAAGAAGGCATATATGTGGGTGTACTTGCCTGTGTAAGTGGCCTATTAAAACATGTCACTCTTAGTGGAATCCACTACAAAAACAAAATTCCTTGATGCACTTGAATTGCAGTTTTCTCTATTACCATAAACTGAAGTTGTTTTCAAGTTGTGTGACCACCACCAGAGTACCACAACAATTGTATCACCCTAGTCATCACAACAGCAATGAGAAAGGGAAGGGGCAAGCCCCAATGCTACTTTAATAGCTACTCTACCACTTTTTATATTTTAAATTTGAATATAATCAAAATCACAGTACCATTATCTCCATTCAGAGTTTTAGAATGCCTTTTCAAGATACTGCATTTTATAAATAATGTCAGAATAAAGCATCATTTCTTAGGTAGCATTTATTGCTATAAACAATATTTCCAAAATTCTCTATAGTTTTTTTAAGTTTATACCTATTGTGATCATTTTTAGACATCTTGAGTTACTCAGATATTTAAAATTGTCACTAATAGTGTTTTTCACCTTCCTACTTTCTTGTTTATAGTTTTGCATATTGTTTGGTTTATTTATTTTTTTTAATTAATGTTCTGCATCTACCAGTAAGAGAGGTATTTTTAAACCATGGTGGAAGTTGAAACGTGATCTGAAGTGTTGGCCTCACAGGATACTCACCTTCTGGAGATTTTCCTGCTAGGATTAGGGCCAGTGGCTTTGGAATGCTGTTCCCTGAGAGATGCATTCCTCAGGCCTGAAGCGGTCACCTTTGTATTAGAAAGAGATTCACTGCCTGAATTAAAAGGTCAGTAGTTGTTTTATTAGTTGATAAGGTGCTGAATTTAAGATGATGATTAACCAGCTATATGTCAAAGTTTGGAAGGAATGCTTGTGTTTGTTTAAATCAATTGCTACTTCTGATTTCTAAATCACTTAATCTTCTTAAGGAGCAGAAAAGTAGAATGAAGAAAACAGAATACGAATAAGAACATGACGTGGTATCTGAATTCTTATTTTCAGAATTGTTAAATTAAGTGACCTCAGTGGGATTCACTAAATATTACTGATTTCTATGAGTAATTTAAATATATTCTGAGTGATGACAAACTTCAGTAATTGATTCCACTGGGCTGCTGTTTTCATTTTGCAATTGTAAAATGTTATAGTTACTGGCTTAATAATGCAAAGAAGCTGGTTCTTTTTCTAGGATATAAAGAAACATAATGGTGGAATAATGAATACCAAAGACAGTGGAAAAAAAGAACATGAGAACTGATCTTCAATAGGATCAAACCCATGTCCACTGTGTGCAAGACAGGCCCCTTAGCTGCTGATAGCTGAAATATCTCCAGCCCCAGGAAGCCAAGGACTTCTAAGGAAGTCAAGTGACTGATGACCACACTCATATTCTCAAAATGGACCAAAGTAAATGGACCATTTACTTTGCCAGAAAACCAACAGCTTCTGATTCACTCTGGCCACCAAACCCAGATCTTGGTTTCTACCCAGTGCAATTTCCTGGCAACAGAGAAAGATGTTCTATGAAAAATTACTCTCAAAGAAAATTTGTAAGGTAAGCATGGCCATTAGGCCATTATAGGAAAGAAGGGGCTAAACATTTCAGAATCCTGATCCTTAAGATGGCAGAACTCATTAAGGCGATAAAGATCTGCCTAGCAACACTAGGTGAAAAGATCTGGCTGCAATCCAACTAAATGAAAACAAGCACATAATCCTCTCCCTGATAAGAGATGTCACAACCATCCTGTTATTCGTCGATTGCCTCGAGCAGGCCCAGTAATGTCTCTTCATCCTAGCCCTGAGATTTTTTTAAAAAGTGCCATATTCAAGGCTCTTTCAGAGTTAGGAGAATGAGACCCTTCATTGTTACTGGTATATGGCATATTGGGTATGCCACGGGGAGTTTGCCAGACTCTGCAGTGTGGGCAGGTTACATTCGGTAGCCTGCCAGTTTGTCCAAAGTAGGAATGAGATGATAAGATGTTACGCGGCCGCAAATGCGGGGCACGCTTTATGAGCTGGGTTTTATAGAAGAGAACAGCGCAGAGTCTCCTGCCCCCGCGCCTGGCTGTCCTCGCCAGGGCCCCATGGAGGGGAGCGGGTTGAGTTTTCCTCCCCGCCCCGACCAGGGCTCCGGCAGCCGAAGACCTCCAAACAAGCCACCACCATGCTGAGACCACACTCTGATAAGAGATAGCTGGAGAATTTAGCATGGTGATACTGTCTTTTCCTTACAGAATCAGTATATGATCTCCTCTAATTAGAAAAATACCAATGCAGTTTTAAGCAACTGTTGGCCCCTTGAACATTATTGCCAACAGTCATAGTTTGAACTTAAAGGTCAGCGTTATTCACTCCATTAATTAATGCTTAAGTAAATAAATTTGTGATTATAGGATATGTTTCCTTTTTCTACCAAATTTCTAAGTTTGCATTCGAATTAGATTCAATAGAACTTACATGTTTTACTACCACAATTTCAAATCCTCCCTAGAAGAGCAGGAGGGAACATCTGATGTTTGTTTCATTGACATCCTGAAGTATTTGTTGTATATAGATTTTAAAGTGATCAATTCATTGAATTAAAGTGAAAAATTGGAAATAAATAGCATCTCCAAACAATTGGAGTACTAGATGGCCATTTTAAAGAAAAAGACTGAGTTGAGTGGACTAACATTCAGAGGTGATCAAGACATTTAGTAAGAAAAATGTGCAGAATTCTAAGTGTGTGTATGCCTAAATCTATATAATACACGGCATCTATGCTCAGAAAAGTACAGGAGGCAAGTCACACATTGTAACTGTGTTTGGTCAAAAGGGTTCAACGGGGAGGGGTACAGAGAAGGGGAACTTCTTTTTCTTTCTAGGTTTTGAGTCATGCCTGGCTGTAGTTCAGGACTTCCTCCTGGCTCTGTGGTTGGGGGGTCACTCCTGGTAGGTAGTGATCAGGGGAAACCATATGTGGTGCTGAGGATTAAACCCACGTCAGCCGCTTACATGGAAGCACCTCAAATGCCGTGCTCTTTCTCTCTGGTGCTTGCTTTGGGAAATCAAGCCAGACAAAAACCTCTAGTCTCTTAGTCAGTGTTTCCTGGTATGAACGCTACTATTTCTGGGTTGGGGAGAGGGGGCACTTAAAATATTCTTGGAGGTAGTAGCTTTAGGTTGAGTGAGGTAAGGGTAAAGGGGTACTTTGTGGGTTTGGAGGGGTTTTGGGGTTTTTTTTTTGCTTTTTGGGTCACACTTGGCGATGCACAGGGGTTACTCCTAGCTCATGAACTCAGGAATTCTCCTGGCAGTGCTCAGAGGACCATATGGGATGCTGAGGATCGAACCTGGGTTGGCCACATGCAAGGCAAACGCCCCACCCGCTGTGCTATCACTCTAGCCCCTGAAGGGTTATTTTGTATTTTTTTTTTTTACTGAAAGTAGATTTCCAGAATAAGCAATAATTTTTCTCCCCGCCTGAAAAGTAGGCAGCAGGTCAGTTAAGTGTGGGAACCACTCGGCCCATGGATACAGAGTCCTTGATGCCGAGTCCTGGTCTATATGCTCTGCTAACTTTACCTTTGGTAAGATACTCAGGTAAGTGGACTCGCTGGAAGCTTTCAGAAAGGCAGAGGAGGCTGGCGTGGGGCTTCTGAGCAGCTCATCATTCCTGACGCTCCTGGAGGACAGGAGGCTGGCATTGCTCTGGCAGAGGCTCCCAAAGGCTGACAAGTCTGCGTCGTGCAGAGAACCTTTCCGGTGGCACCTGTATCTGAGGTCGGAGCTCACCAGGGCGTCTTCAAACACAGACTCCTCGTCAGAGAGCTGCAGCTTCTCCAGCTCCTTATTGATCTTCTGCACATCTGCCACAGTGGTGCCGGGGGACACGCGGCTCTCGGGCTTTGTGTATTCAGCACAGAGACTGAGGATGGTCTCCAGACGCTGTCTCTCCTGGAACACAGAACACCAGGGCAAGCTTAGAGTCTGTGAAGTGATGACCACTGCCAGTTAAAAGACTGAAGACTCACAACCACAACCACGTCTAGGCGAATTTCATCCCACAACACCCAGTCCCTCAGCTAGTGAGGATTTTTTATCATCTCTGATAGATACATTGAAGGATACAGATAAAGCCTGGGCTAGCAATGACTGATTTTTGTCCCTAACTCAATTCCATCTCTGCCCTTCTTTGTATACTCCAGTGATGGCCTTGCAGTACTCAGAGGGCCCATCTAGTTTTGAACGCAATGAGAAATTTTGAGCTCCATATACTTCAAAACATCATTCCTCTGCACACATTCTATGTCCAATAATATTTAGCTTTTTCATCACTATGGGCTGGAGCGAGAGCATAGCAGGTACGGTGTTTGCCCTGCATGCGGCCGACCCGGATTAGATTTCTCCTTCCTTCTTGGAGAGCCCGACAAGCTACTGAGAGTATCCCACCCGCACGGCAGAGCCTGGCAAGCTCCTCGAGACGTATTCAATATGCCAAACACAGTAACAACAAAGTCTCACAATGAAAACATTACTGGGCCCACTCCAGTAAATCGGTGAACAATGGGAGAACAGAGCTACAGTGCTCATCACTATAGACATTGGTACGAGAATAATTCTTTAACTTCCTATGCAAATATTATTCTACTACTAGACACAAAGGTAAAAATGCTCCTGAAAGAATATTTTCTTCTAAAGAGCATAATTGGCTCTTCAATTTCTTGTTTGTTTGCTTTGGACCCCACCCAGAGGTGCTCTGGGTTTGCTCCTGGCTCTGCACTCAGGGATCACTCCTGGCAGAGAATAGGGGACCATCTGAGATACTGGGGCCCAAGTAGGGTTGGCCGCATGCAAAGCAAATATCCTACTTGCTGTACTATTTCTAAAGTCCTTCAATTTCCTTTAAATATTAAAAAAAAAATAAAAACTTAAAAGAATGTCTAATCATCCTATAAAGATCTTTTCCACCAATAAAGGTCATTTCCACCCATGAGTAACTAAAGTTATTTAAAAGGTGGTAGGGCCAAAAAGATAGTACAGTGGGTAAGTACAAGATAGTACAGCCTTGCATGCAGCCTTCCCGTCCTCAGAAGAAAAATGAAAAAAGCGAGGAGACAGGAGCCTGTGAATAGTCCAGTGGAAACAGTTCCTGCCTTAGAGCCAGAGACCGGTGAGGCCTCTGGTTCATTCCCTGGCACTTCTTCTCTGCCCAAGGGCCACAATCCTGGCTTTGCTTCTGGAATCCTTGCTACTACAGTTGCAGGTGTGTATGAACACAATGGTAGTGTGTGCCCTCCTGCAAGCAATGGACCTAAAAAGCATAAGCAGCTTTACCAAGTGTACGACTGCAGGCGACCTCGCTGTCTAAGTACCACCAAGTATGCAAGCACAGAATCGAATGTATGAGCCTCTAGTTAGCAGGTCACAGTAGCGACCACAGCAGCAGCGGCAGCAGCAGCACTGACAACCACAAAGAGAAGGAGGACAATTTGTTTGAAGTAGGAATGTCACATGGAAATGAAAACTATTTTGAATCAAGTCAGGACAGAAAGGGACCATTGTACTCAAAGGCTGAGATCATTAAATGGTTGATTCATTAAGCTGGAAAAGAAAATGAGTCTATTTGTTTTAAAATATTATTGAGGGACAGAGAGATAGTGCAGAGCTTAAAGGCACTTGTCTTGCATGCAGCCTATCCTCGTTCGATCCCTGGCACCTCCTATGGTCCCCCAAGCACTGCCAAAAGTGATCCCTGAGCACAGATCGAGGCACAGCTTCTGGAAATTTCCAGGTATAGCCCAACACCCTTCCCACCACACCAAAAAGGAAATAAATAAAAGTAGGGTTGGAGAGACAGCACAGGGTTAAAATACTGGTCTTACATGTGGCTCGCCTCAGTTCTATCCCTGGTATCACATATGGTTTTCTAACCATTATTGGGAGTGACCCTGAGCATGGGGCTGGAAGTAGCCGCTAGCACCACTTAGACCAACACGTATCCAAATAAATAAACTAAAAATCAATTTAGAGATCATCAGTGTAGATAATGGTACCACTGACAATTTACCAAGCTCCCTATGCAATCAATATAGGTAGAATAAATGTGATTTTTTTTACCTCAAATAAATTCACTATGTATTTGTAAATAGTGGAATGTAAATTACAGAATGATGGTCATATACCTACACAGCACTTTTGGGTAGGGAACTTTAACATTTAACATATATACTACAATGAAAAGAGAATTAAAAAACCTAAGACACTTTTTCCAAACTGGTCATCAGTAATGAAATAGAAAATCTATAAGCAGCATAGGGCTGCTGTTTTCCATTTCTAACTGCAATTCCTTCATAATGACAAAATTCCAAAGGCAGTTCGCACTTTATTAGTTGAGTAAGTATCAAATAGAAACATAACACCTGGTTTCTGTTAAATACATAAATAGAATGACAAGATAGAATCTATTAAGTTTCACTTGACTTTGATCTTTCCTCTAAAGTCAGCCTCCACATGTCCCTCCCCCCCCTTTCCACCCCCCATCGCAAATGCTTGATCAAAAGGACTATTTAACTGCTTCCCAGACTTCCCACCTCCCTTTCACTGCCCGGGCTTCTGGATTCCAGCTGCAGTTCAGTCCTCACGGTCTCTTCCCACGGCAGACACACATAGCTGTGCCACCTCATCCTGGTGCTTCTGCACCCTTGTCTACCAGGAGCCCTGCTGTTTATTTATCTCCACAGCTGCCACCAGTTGCCAAGCCCTTCCCACTTCAGCTTCAGGAGTAGGGGCTGTGAGGGTGGGGGGAGGGAGGGAAACTGGGGCTGTACAACACTCAGTGCCTTATTCTACGCTTCTCCAGTAATATGGGAAAGTTTACATGGGACCATAAGAGCGACAAGAACACGCAGTTAATTTGCACCCTTTCTCTCAACAGAATCTACACTAAAGGTAATCTCCAAAGGAAGTTTCTTTTTCTGTCATTTAGGTAAAATAAATTGAAGAATTTAAACTCAGTCTTTTCTTATAGCTGCATATCAGAATGCGAATAAATGTCACACGATAACCACCGGTGACATTGGAGGTTATGTGAAAGTTGTCAACTTCCATTTCCTAAGGCTCTAATGAAGTGTGGTCTTGAAAGCAGACAAGGTACCTTGTCTAGCTAGTAATACGTAGTTAAATTTCTCCCACATGTGCCCAAAATAGTTTCTTTTGCTGCAAGTGCTATTGCTTAATTCTAGAGGGAATAAATGATCCAGGCCTTAAGACGAATGTTATTTCAGACAGTGAAATGCAGTATTCAAAGGCTTATGCAGGAAGTTTGGTCTACTGGTATGTACTTCTCTCTATTCTTATCACCTCGTTCACAGCCAATCTGCCCAGGCTTGAATCACACACACATGCGGTACTGCTGCCCATGAGTCAAAAAGAAATTTAGGCCATGCCAAGACACATTGGTCTCATAAAAGCTGTACCAAAGAAAAATAAACTGATGATAAGAAGTACATCAGAAGTTTGCAAGGCATTTCAGAAAGCATTGCAAGAGGCCTTTTAAGGAAAGCTCTGAGCAGAATTTAATCTCATAAATTTATCTTTGCTTCACTCAAGTCTTGATTGAGATTTCAGAGTCTTTTTTCTCCATTTATTATTCAACATCATCCACCTTTAATGAACTAACATCAGCACTTCTGACCTGGACAGTTTGGAAACTCAACACAGGTACAACTAAGAGTTAAGCTGTATCATTAAAAGAAAACTAGACTGGCAAACCGAGAATCAAGCCATCTGAACTCAAACGCTAACGTTTTAATGTCTCATCTTCCACACTGCTTAGTTAGGAGCCCACATTCTTTGATGTCTCTAATTCCTACCTACCATTCTTTATACTGTTTTATTTTTTAGATTTTATTGAATCACGTGAGACACAGTTACAAGCTTTCAAGTTTGAGTTACAATCACACAGTGATCAAACATCCATCAGTGCACGTTCCCCACCACCAATATCCCCCTTACCCACCTCCCCCTGCCTCCTGGCAGACAATTTCCCCCATACCCACCGTTCTTAACCAAAACTGTAATGTGCATACTCTTGGAGAACCAAAAGTAGAAAGGCTAGATGCCTAAATGGCCCAACATATTGGTATTAAGGATTTAAAAAGTGGGTCACATTGAATACAATAATTTAAAATACATTTTTCCTCCCTTAAAAAAATCCTCTATATACTACATCAAAGAAAACTTTGAAGTGGGTATAAGATCTTAAAAGACGTATGGAAGTGAAATGGTGTGCAGGCCTTCCCTTAGCAAGTCTTTTTTTTTTTTTTTAAGTTGTGGGCTGTGTATGTTTTTGACCACATTTCAAAGGAATGTGTCTGGCTGGGTGTCTGGGGTTGCTTCGCTGTAGTTCACAGCCCTGTCAGAAGCCTCATCCATCTCCCGTCCCTCCATGTAATCACCAGCAGCCAGTCTCTGCCAGAGCACTGTAAATGTGATGCAGAAAATCAACTGTTGGTACTTAAGCATAAGTGAAATCTTTGTTAAACTCCTCTTGCTATAATAAATATGTCATGTCACATATTGCACAAAAGAAAAGGTAAATCTCTAATAATCAGAAGTACTTTAGTTGAAATATGATCTTTTTCTTCTTTTTGGGTTCAAGTTCTTGGCATTGATGCACAAAGATACTTTCCTAAACCCCCCTTTACAGACGTGCCCTTGACCCTCCCCCGACCCCTATGTTCACTCTGGCTCAACATTTCATCCCTCCCACCCCTACCCGTCATTTATTAATTGACAGCGCTCTAGTGTGTACTGCTAATTCCATTAGTATCACCCATATTCTTGAAAGGTGTTTATTCCCCCCCTAGAATACCTAACATAACATAGGAGCCTGAGTGAGAGAACAGTGGCAGGGCACTTGCCTTACATGCAGCAGACCAAGGTCTGATCCCCAA